GAACTCGTCACAGAAGAGCACTCGAGGCAAGAGAGCAGTAGTGAACGAGGTCGGTACAAGCAATGATATGGTGGCCCAACAGCTAGCTGAGCTTACTGAGCATATGAGATTGCTTACCGCACGAGGATCTCAGCCGGTTAATACATTTGTTGTTGATACATGTGGGGCGTGTGGAGTCCCAGGGCATAGATCCGAAGTGTGCCCCTCATCATTCGAGCAGGATTCGGGAGAGCAATATGCAGATGCCAGTGCCTTACAGGGATACCAGAATAGGCCAGTCAATGACCCATATTCAAACACGTATAATCCCGGATGGCGGAACCACCCACACTTCTCGTGGTCAAACAACTCAAACACCCTTCAGCCACCTCGTCCGAACTTCATGCAGCAACAACCTCGACCCAACCTTGTGCCCCGGCCGAACTACCAGCCACAGCAGCCACAACAGCAGCAGAGGGGACCAGAAGCGGGGTCGAGTTCGAACCTCTAAGACGACATTGCCAAAATTCTTCAATTTATGGCCAGCAGTGAGCAACGAAGTGTCAATCAGGAGGCCTCCATCAAGCGTATTGAGACGCAGTTAAGCCAACTGGCCACACGGGTCGGAGTTCTTGAGACTGAAATGAACAAGGGGAAGTTGCCCAGTCAGACGGAGCATGTGAATTCAGTGACCGTTATTACGCCCGACTTGGAGGAGACGATGGTAGACGAGGGAGAACAAGAGGCAGAAGAATATCCAAGGAAGTTAGAGCAAATAGAAAAGGGCCCAGCGGCACCACCTTCCGTGCCAACTTTGCATAAGTCCCCAAATGCATACAGACCAAGGTTTCTTCACCCATGCCGACTCTCGGAAGAGAAGGACAATCAGCTGATGCGGGACCTATACATGATGTTGAGAAAGGTAAATACGATGTATCACCTTCTGATGTGTACAGAATGATACCGGCCTACGCGAAGCATTTCAAGGAATTGGCCAAGAATAAGAAGCAGTTAGTGAGTGCCGATGAGGTGGTGGTATGCGAGGCGGCAAGTAACTTACATAGCGACTTGCCAAGGAAAGAGAGAGATCCCGGGGGCTTTGTAATCAACATAGATTTCGGGAATGAGAAAGAGACCTCGGGGATGCTCGATCTTGGAGCAGGAATCAACCTAATGCCGCTCGCAGTCTATCGGCAGCTTGGGCTTGGTGATTTGAAGCCTACTCGAATGCGCCGACAGTTAGCCGACCGCTCGATACGTCAACCCGAAGGCATTGTAGAAGACGTGTTGGTTCGGGTGGGGAAGCTGATAGTCCTCGTGGACTTCGTTGTGCTAGATATGGGGGATGTGTTAGAGGACGGGAGGCAATACACCATCCTTCTCGGGCGACCCTTTATGGCGACCACCAGCACGGTTATTGATGTGAAGAAAGGGATCGCGAGCATGACCGTGTTGGGGGAGTCCATCTTCATTTCTGACCGAGCGAATCAACCTGAACCGCAGGTGACAATTCAGGAAGAGGGTGCATTTCTTCGAAAGATGGACCAACTTACTGAGGAAGCGTGTAAGCGAGGATTCACGCAGAGGCCACTGCAGGGCCATGTCCATAACAACTGCTACATTGCCCCCTCTCAGCCTAGTTCGATGGAGCTGCCTCGGTCTCTCTGGGCCGAAAGATATGATGTGTCAGACTTTCGACGCTACTCGGGGCCTGACTATCTCCACCGTCCGCCTGCACCACCGAACTCACAGTGACGAGTCTAGTCACTGTTCTCTGTACGGTTGTATCTCTCCCTTTTTATTTTTGCATTTTGTTCTTTTTCTTTGTTTTTCTTCTCTTGGGTAATTATTCAGGTAATTAGGAATTTTTATTTTTGTTTTTCATTTCATTCCAGTTTTTCTTAAAAAAAAAAAATCTCTCGACTCGCGAAATATCTCGCGAGTCGCGACTTACCCATCGCCAATAGGGTCGACCTCTCTGTTTGACTCGCGACTCGCGAGTAAAAAGTCGCGACTCGCGAGTTACCCCACGAAAAAATGATATCGGCCTCTGTTCGATTCGCGAATCGCGAATATCTCGCGACTCGCGAGATAGCTTGCGAAAATGTGTCGCGACTCGCGACATTGTTCCGCGAGTTCCCTGTTTCAAAAAAAAACAAAAAAAAAGAGAAAAAAAAATATATTGTCGCGACCATGGTCGCGTCGCGCGACTATACGTCGCGACTTGCCTGCAAGGTTTTTAATAAATCGGGTTTTTCTCTTTTTGTGCAGGCCCTATTCTTTCCTATCTCTCTCTCGCGTCAGCAGAAAATTAGGAACGACCCTCGACTGTCTCTCTCTCTTGCTCAAATTGCTCCACCACCGGCTATCACCGCCGGCCAGCCCTATCCTCCTCCTCCTCCTCCTCCTAGTTCAGGACCACAGTGACTTGTCACTGTGTTGGTCAGCTGTTTCTTTCCTTTTCTATTTTATTTTTTTTATTTTATGTTCTGTATTTTGTCTTCTTTGCTGAGTCGGTTGATTATGTAGTACAACTTCCCTTCGCCGAGAGTCGACAATGGGGACATTGTCTGATTTTAAGTGTGGGGAGTTTTTGCATGTTTTATGTGGCTATTTGGTTGACCAGGTCTAGTTTCTCTTTTTAAGTTGTTTTATTTCTTTCTTTTGTGTGGTGGACCAGTCTAGTTTTAGGGTT